CAGACAACCCTCGGCCATCTTGAAATGAGTCAGTGACAGCCTTGGCTGTGGCTGGTGACACAGGAGGGTGCTCACACCTGGATTTGAAGAGCCTAGCCCTGCCCCCAGCACTTCTCCACCCATCCAAACAAACCGCCTGCGATTCCACCGTTGCAGCTGCCCTCTGGTTTCAGCACTGCTGCTCTTCTCAAAAATAAATACACTTCGTTTTTTACAAAAACAATGTTCATTCTAAAAATTCCAACAGCATCCCATCTGCTTTTAAAATGTCAGTCCCTCCCAGCCAGAAGGTGGGACAGAGGTCTGGCTCTCAGGCACGCTGGGGTGGGGCCGCAGGGAGACCGGGGAGGGAAGTGAGGGATTCTTTCTGCCAGCTTGGTCTTCTGGTGCCCCATGAGCTGTGTGTGCGCGGGAGCTGACGGCGCCTAGGAGTGTCCCTCCCTGCCCACCCCAAGCTCCCCATGCAGTGACTGTTAAGGGAAAAACATCCAGGGACTGGATCTCGAGGGCAGGGTGAGTGGAGGGACATTTGAGTGGAGCCCAAAATACAGCGAGGAGAGAGGCAGACAGCCGACGCAGACAGGAAAAGGGTGGATAGAGCAGAAGAACCCGGGCCTCTGAGGCTCCAGGACCCCCCTCCTGTAGTGGGCTGGGGAAAAGCACAAGTCGAGAGAAGGGAGCAGGGGTGGTACCGAGGAGAGACGGAGGCGGAGGGCAGGAAGAAAGATGGAGCCCCCGAAGGTGCCCGCCGCAGCTTCGAGATCCACCGCCCGTGAGCAGGCGGGTGAGAGCGGCCTGGCCTCAGCCTCAGCGAGAGGGAAGCGGCAGCAGAAGGATCAGGGCGGAGCTGGACCAGGATTACAGGCCTCAGGAGTCGGCCTGGTGTGCCTGCCAGGGCATCCCAAGGGGTACGGACAAACAAAGATGGGCACAGGACCAAGGTTCCACGCCAGCCTCGGGGCTGCAGGGAGATCTGACGCCTCTGAGCGCCTGACGGGGATGCAGAAGGCGCGGCCGCAGCTGCTGGCGCCCTGGCAGTGGAGGACCGGTAGGCTCCGCAGCCGAGGTACTGAGTAGCGCCCGGGGGATCCAGGGTTCCGACTCCCACCCACCCATATACACACCGGCGCCCCCTGGCACCCAGGACAGGCAGCACATTTCCAACCCCAGCGGGCAACGGGCTCCCGCTTCCTGACGCAGCTCCCTCGCAGGCAGAGAGAATCCGGGCTGCAGGGCGTAGGAGCGGGACCCGGGAAGGGGGTGCTGTTTATCCCGAGGATGCCGCGGACTCAACCCTCAGTGGCACCTGAGGCTCAGGAAGTCGGTTGGATCGGCTTAGCGGCGAAAATGCCAAGATGAGGTGGGTGGAGCGGGACTGAAGGGTCCCTCAAAAAAGACCAGAATCGACCTACACCGGGAAGAGGCTGCGGAAATTGAAGGATGGCGGCGCTGAGCAAGGCTAGACGGGAGAGAAGACTGCCTCTCGCCGCAGCTCAGGCTGATCCCTGGAGAAAGCCCCGGGAGAGCCAGTCTCACTGGGTGTCAGACGGGATCTGGGGCGGAGGCGCCTCCTCCCTACCAAGGGCCCTCTCCCATCCCTCCCACTGTGAGTGGAGGACCTGGATCACCGTGGGACCAGGGAACTCCTGTGACAGAGCGCCACCCACCTACAGCCCAGGACAAAGCAACTCCACTGTGCCCAGCACCCTCTCACTCCTCAAGGTCGAAGCCCTTTAATTCCCGGGACCTGGCGGAGACCACCAGGGAGACTGATCCCGGCTATCGAGCTAGGCCTCGGGACTGCGGCGGTCCTGCGGGATCCAGGAGGGGCCAAGTCGGAAACGAGGGTTTTGTCTACACTGGAGCCAGGGCAAGGCCAGAGACACTGAGAAAGCAGTTTAGGCCTCTGCCCTGACCCTACCGGCGGAGATCCGTGTCTAAATTCCTCAATTACTTTGCAAAAAAGGAAAGAGGATTTCTCAAAGCTCCCAATGCCCGCGCGTTCTCTCTCTGACTCTCTCTCTCTGACTCTCTCGCTCTCCCCGCTCCCTTCAGCAAGGGCAGACCTCGCACGCCCCCTCCACGTGGCCATACCTGGGCACAGGCGCGCCCGGCCTCGCCCAGGTCCGGTGGGAGGTAGCCCAGAATTGCGCAGCTCTCCGGCGGGGAAGAATGCGGGCGGGAGCCCAGTGGCACTGCACGACCCGCCTCTTGGGGCGAGGAACTGCGCGGCCTGGGCAGCGTGCTCCGAGAGGGACAAGGGACTCGAAGCAGCCTGGCGTTAGAGAGTCCGGGGTTCCAGCGGCCTCCCAGGCTCCCACCTTGACCTGGGCCGGGTCTGACTGGGCAAAAGAAACGGCCTCCTTCCGCCGTACACACACTGGCTGCCTAGAAGCGCAGAAGCCCTGACTTCCTCACTCGATCCCCGCGCCCAGGCCTGCGGGAAAGAGAAAGCCCAGGGTTTCTGAGACAGCGATTCCCATACCGGGAAGAGAGAACGTGAGAAGGGCCGAGAAAGGGCGCGGGAGCAAGGGAATTTCCAGGAATCCACACGGGACTGGCCTGGCAGCGTCGCTGCTCCCTGCGGGATTCCCTCCGCAGTCGCGGAAGGGGGAGCGGCCCCAGTCTCCTAGGTCGAGGCTCCGCGGGACTCTACTGGAGGCCACCCACCTCTCCCCGGAGGGAGGTCCTCCCTGGCACTCCCAAGAGTTTGAGCACCGCCCGGAAGCCCATCCGCGGACCCCAGCAGATGCGCCGAGTGGGATACCTGAGTTACTGGCGCGGAAAGATGTCATCCGTAGAATGAAAAATTAAAACGGTGAAAACAAAGCTCGGTGGGTCCAGCAGTGCTGCCCCATTTTTGTTTGAACAGAAACCCGTGCCTCCTGTGGCAAGTGGAACAGCGAGGGCTAGGGGTCAGGGACTGGGAGAGGGGCCAGCTGAGTGCTTTCTGCTTCGAATTTTTTTAATTTGAGTGTAGAAAATACTCTTACTTGAGTAATAAATAATCGTGAGAAAGACTGGAGTGAGGATGGAGGCAATGGGCCGCCTCAGGAGACAGAAGTCTTGCTGGGCTGGGGATAGCCCTCGCCTGTAGGGGAAGGTTGCTGAGAAATTTGGCTGCCCCTCTAGGTACCAGCAGGGGAGGGGCCGAGCTCAGGGCTCGTCACTCCCACTGGGCGTTGGTCCCAAGCCTACTCCCAGCTGGGTCACCCTCCCCCCACCCCACCCTCCTGTGGCTCTACAGACCTTCTTTCTCACCCCCTACACACTCCTACAGCCCCGCACCCTACTAATACACACCCTCAGCACCCGAAGCTTGCCCATGCTGCAGTCGCTCTGCACAGCCCTGCCCCATGCCCCTGGCACTCCTGCCCCCACCCAGATCACCCTGTGGCCTGAGTTCCCCTCCTTCCTTCTCCTTAGCCTGGGCTAGTAGCCTCCACCCCTTTATTCTCCCCTTTGGCCAGGCCCCAAACCCTGCCCAGTGGCGCCATCACTCAACCAGTTAGGTGGTTGATGACCCCTCTCTTAGGCTGGGGACATCTGACACTGGCCATGTATACACACCCAACTGCTCACAAGCACACTGGACACACGCTAGGCACTGACACACGCACACACACCCCATCATACATTTGCACAGGAGCCATGGAGTCTGCACTGGTGACACAGCCACTTATACCTGGCACACTCACGGACAGACAGACCCTGAGACAGACCAAAACATCCCTGCTCATACTAGCACGCTAGCCAGAAAAGGGAAGGAAAAAACCTGCAGTTACAGCCCACTGGGAGAGTGTCATGAGCGCTCAGGACACACACACGTTTGCACACACATCTTCGCTAGTGTCTCCCAATCTTTCCTCTAAGCCCTCTCCGAGGCAAAGGAAGGGAAATCTGGGCCGGGATCTTCCTGTCATGGCCAGGAAAGAACCAGACGTGGGGCGAGCCCTGAGCTCCCCAGAAAGGGTTAAGGGTAGGTCGCCATGGAGGGCCCAGTGCTATGGCCAGGGATCCCCAGTGCTCAGCTTCTCAGCCGGATCCGTCTTCCACCGCGCTCCCCTCCGCCCGCCGGTCGTCTCCCCAAGCACCGTCTGCGTCGCCTCAGCCTACAGAGAGCCAGACGGGGAGCAGGGGAACGGGGGGCTCCGCGGATGGGGGCACAATATCTACCCTCTATTCCTGTCTAGGGGGCTACCCTATGTGGGAAGGCCTCAGAGTCGCCGTGGAACTCGGCGTTTACTGCCTACTACGGTCCCGATCTCACTCTCGACTCTCTTCGGCTTCTCAACCCAGTTGTCTGTTTTCTTTGCCCGCGGGTGCGGGTGAGTAGCTTGGTCTCCCTGCCTCATCTTTCCGGGCTTATTTGCCCCATTTTCGGCTTTGTTCTCCCGGGAGCGCCCGGAGGGGCCTGCAGTCTGTATTAGTGAGTGTGCTTGTGGGTGTGAAACTCGGGGAGGGAAGCAATGAACCCCAGGCCTGCGCCGCGCCTCCAGACCCCCACCCCACCATGCTCCCAGGCAAAGCCAACCTCCTGTTCTCTGCTCTGCCTCGCCGGGGTCGCCTTCCTAGCGCGCTAATTATCAACCCCTCTGAAACAGCCAGAGCCGCGAGGCTGCGCTTCTCGGGGGATCCACGGAGTCGGGACAGGAGTAGGCGGTGGGGGTTGGGGGAGGGTTGATAAACTTTGGGAAAGGGTGCAGGACGTTCCTCGGTACCCTAGGACCATCCCAGCTCCCTCTGCCGGGCTCCAAGCACGGCTAGACTAGGGATGAAGAAGTGGGGCCACTCAGCTTGCGGCCCACGCTCAGCGCCCCAGAGCACCACGCGGAGTTGGAGACCCCCGACTCGCGCCCAATCAGCAGGGAAGGGAGGAGCCACGGGGCGGGGCGGGCCCGGAGAAGGAGGAGCCGGGCGGGGGCTGAGGGGGCGGGGAGCCACGCGCACCACCAGCCGGAGCTGGCGCTGCAGCAGCTAAGGCGGCGGTGGCAGCGGGCATGGGCGATGGGGGTGCAGAGCGCGACCGCGGTCCCGCTCGCCGGGCGGAGTCTGGCGGCGGCGGCAGCAGGCGCGGCGGGAACCGCGGCGGAGCCGGGGACTCGCGCGCTGGTGGGGGCGGCCGCAGCCCGAGAGAGGTCGCTGGTACCTCGGCCTCCAGCCCCGCGGGCACCAGGGAGAGCGGCGCCGACAGCGACGGGCAGCCAGGGCCGGGAGAGGCGGACCACTGCCGCCGCATCCTGGTGCGAGGTAAGGGACAGCCGGCGGCCCGGGCCCACGGGACCCCATCCTACCCCTACTGGATCCTCCGACCTTCCTGCAGTTTCCACCTCCCCGTTCATATATCCATTCGTTCATCATTCGTTCAGCAGCTATTCCTTCGAGCTCCTATTGTGTGTCGGACACCGAGCTGAGTGCAGGGGACAAAGCGGCGAATGGGACCGAAGAGGTCCTGGTTACCTCGCCTAACAGTTCTCAGTCTCTCTGTCCCGCTCCTCGCCCCAGACCCGCAGCAGGGGTAGAGATGGGGGCGCGGAATGCTGAAGGTAGCTTTCCGCTCCGCGCCGCTCAGGGCAGGTGCGAAGAAGAGCGGCACCCGCGCTCCGCGGCGCGGGACTTAGAGGGACCAGCGTCCGGAATCGCGGGAGGAAAAGGCCTCGGCTCCGCACCGTGGCGGGGCGCTTCCTCACCTCCTGCCCGGCACTCTTTCCTGTCCCAGCGGCGGGGATCCGCACTGGTTCCTCGCGGGGAAGGTCTGGGGGACACGGAGGGTGGAGCGCGCGGCGCTCGCCCGCCTGTGCTTCATTCTCAGCTCCACTTTCTCGCGGCACCTCCCGGCGCGGCCTTCTCCCGGCCTGGCCTTTCTCGTCCCTCCCTTTCTCCCTCGCCCTTTTGCCCCTCGCCTTTCTTCTGTCCCAGCCTTTTCTCTCCGCCGAATTCGCCTTCCCAGCACCCCCTAGGTCTGGACTGCGTCCTAGCACCCAACTCTGCCCGGCCTTCTCGCGCGATGCCGGGGCTTCCGGGCCCCACCGCCAGCCGCGCGGAGCTCGGGCTCGGCTTTCGCCGGATCCCGGCGCCTCAGCGACCAGAGAGAGGGAAAAAGGGGATTCCGCGTCTTGCCCCAGCCGCTTCCCAGGCCGCAGCCAGAGCCCATAGTCCCAGAAGAAACCACTCGCGGGGAACGGCTCACCCGGCCTCCCTCCCTGGCTCCCCCGCCCGGCTTCCGCCCGCTGCTTTCTTCCTGCCTCGTCTCCTTCCCTAGCTCTGGTCCTGCGAGCCGCGGGGCCTCGTGAGGCGACCCCGCCTGGGGAAGCCGGGAAGCCTGGGAAACCTGCCCGAAGGCGACTCTGGGTCTCTTCGGCGAGGGGTTCCTGGATTTGTCTGATCTGAGTTCGGCTGCTCAGACGCCCACTGGGGCACCTTGGCCCTGCTGGGTGCTGCCTCCGCTACCCATCCCTGCAGTCTGTTGGTGGGGGTGGCTGGGAAATGGGGGACAAGGCTGGATAAAGTATGGGGGCAGCCCAACATGGGGGCAACTGATAATTGTCTTAGACACAGGTGCAGAGACCGCCGCCCTTGGGAAAATCTCCTGGTGCCAGGTGTGGCCACCCCGAGATGAGGCTCTTACAGCTGCCCTGGGGGGGGGGGCAGTCCCTACCCAGCAGAGATTCCAGCAGGTGTGTGGACCTGTCAGGCACCTGGGATTAAACTGGCCTTCATTCCACCGACTCTAAGTGTCCTGTGAACAAGGTGTGAGCAGTCAGCTCTGAGTTCCATTTAGGAAATCCGCAGGGCTGCCAGAGATGGAGAAATCAGCCCCCCAAGCCCACATTCTCCCAGGATTAAGATACTAGGTCCCTGCCTGTGACATTCACCACCTCCCACCCCGACGATGGGTGTGTATTTCCTTTGCTCAGATTGTGAGTTCTGTACCCACCTACTATGCCCCTCCACATTACTAACCCTGTGAGTAGAACAAATAAATTTTTCTTATAGATGCCGATTAAATAGCTCCCAGGTGTAGACTCATAGAAGGTGGGAGTCAAAAATGACCCTTCACCCTGTCAGGTGGGGGCCACCCAAGCTGGGAGCAATCCACAGCCAGGCAGAGCTGGACACAGCGCTGTAATATCGGGCCTGTGTGCATCGACAGGCGGTGTACTTTTATAAACGCATGGAAGCAATACAGCACTGCCATTACATTTATGTAATATAATGAAAATATTCAATATAAAGCATCTAGGGTGTATTTACACACCTAATGGAAAAGAAAGGCAAACGTAGCTGTCATAAATCCCTCTGCCCTTCCCCATTTAATGATGGGCAGGTTATTACAGGTCAGAGATGACCGTAACATCATTTACCGCTAATCCTTCCTAGCCAGGGTCACCTGCGTCACTCAGGGCCCCTCGGTGGCTCAGGGAGGAGGCTCTGTACCTAAAGATATAGGCCCCGCACTAGTGAAAGGAAGCTTGCATCACCATGGCCCAGAAGAGTTTTCCCTCCAGTTGGCCCTGAGCGGGGAGTATGTTTTGCCCTTGAGTACCTTGGAGGAAGCCATTAAAGGGTAGAAGGGAGGTGTATGTCAAGGCATCTGTCAGGAAGCTGATAGGGTGAGGACCCCAGAACACCTGCTCCCTCTGGACCTCAACTTTCTTTTCCCCGGACATTCACTCGCTGGGCCCCACCCCAGGATAAAAGATCTGTTGGAGAAGTCTCATAGGAGAGCCTGGGCACCGGAGTTAAGCAAAGTTTGGGTTCCAATTCCTGCCTTATAGCTCTTAGAACCAGATTCTTTGCCTCTCTGCATCTCTGTTTCCTCCTCTGTACAAAGGGAACCATAGCCCTTATCTTGAAGGGCTGTGCCAAAGACCAGCAGTGTTGTCTGTAAAACCACAAACACCCAGCTACAGCTCCATAAATATTCACTGAATGAAGGTGGGGGGAGCTCTGAGGTGACCTACAAACCACTTCTGACTGGTGCGGCAGTGGACCTCACTCCCCAGAGGTCTCCCTACCCCATAGACGGTCTCCTTCACGGCCCTGGGTCCAGTGCTGGGCTATGTTGGGAGGTGAGCGACCTAGGGGTCAAGAACAGACCGATGGTGAAGGTGATCAGCACCCCTTTGCAGACCACACCCTGCAGCCCTCCCCAAGCCTCTTGGAAGGACTCTTGCTCCGACAAAGATTTAACCTTTCGGCTACCTCTGCGGAATATGGGCCAGGGAGGCCGATGTTACTGCATCTCCCGCCTTGAAATGGAGGCTGCTTCACGTCACACACGGGCACATACACAGCCACCGAGATGGCAGGCGTGTGCGCATAACAGGAGCGCGGCACATTCAGCCCCTTATATCCCACCGCAGACGTAGCGAGGCCTCCACCGGGCCCATACAGCCCCGTAGGCCAACAGACATCTCCACGTGCACTGGCCGGCGTGGAGTAAGGGGGATCCTTTTATTTCATATTCGGAAACAGCAGGCCCGCCGCGGGCAGGAGGCAGCCAAAAGAAGCAGGCCGCCCTCCAGGCCGAGCTGTAACAGAACAACGCAGCCGCAGCGCACAACCAGTCTCTGGCGGAGCCGGCTCACCGACCTTTTCGGTGGAGCGGGGATCCCAGCAGGCAGAAGAAGTGGGATAACTCTCACCCCAAACTCCCTGCAACCCCACAAACCACGCTCGCACCCGCCGGCTCAGACACGCCCACGTGATTCCTAAAGTAATTCGAACGCGAATTCAATAACCCGTTTTGATGGAGCCGGGAAATGCGCTAGCGTCACCCAACCCGGCAACGTTTACGGACTTGCGCGGCACCAGTCCCTGCTCACCCGAAGCGGGCCCCAGGGCCTGGGCGCTTCCCCTGCGGGTCCCACAATCCCATTCGGGCCGCACCCTCCACCCCCACCTCCGTGCGCCGACTGGGCCTGGATGGGCAGGACCCAGAGGCTGCCCCGAGAGCGCTCCAACGCCGCGAGACCCGCTGGGCTCCCCGCCCGGCTCCGCACCTCTCGGTCTGGGAGCAGGAGGGCGGGATAATGGCGGGCCCTGAGCAGACTGACTCTCTGTTCCCCCTTCAGCGGAAACGCGTTCGCTGGGAACTTGACGGATGCGCCGGTGGCTGGGGACGTGGGGGGGCGCGGACCTCCAGCTCCGGCTGGGCATCTCCCGCGGGGTGTGTGTGTGAGCTAGCGGGGCTCCAGCCCTTCGGGACTCCGAGGGCAGTACTGGACCCGCGCTCCAACAACACGCACGTCCGTATAGGTACACAGAGAGCAGCGGCAAGCACCCGGCCGGCTCTCGCACCCACATAAACGTCTGGCCTTGCCGGGCACAGGAGCCGGTGCTCGTGGGCTTGGGCTGGGAGCGGCCTGCAGGGACAGCTCTCCCCCCTCCCCCGAGCAGCCTGTCCGGGCGCAGCGCCGCCTGGCGCCCGCCCGCTTTCTCCTTGGGTTCCCAGCAGCCGCCGGACCCAGGGAGACCGCCTGGGCCTCGCAGGCCTAGCTCCCGCGTCCCTGCAACCCCGCACGCGCGCGCCGGCACAGCCGGGCCTTTGGGCAAACGCAGGCGCGGGGCAGCGGGCTGCACTGAAATGAGCACTGGATAGCGAGTGGGCAGGCCCATCAGCGTGATCTCAATATCTGAGTCTGTTAGTAAGACGGGGTAGCTCGGGACGTCTGTTCTGAGGCCACTTTGGAAGGTTTAAATGGCTCATGCAGGGACCTTATTTGAGATTTTTTTTTTTTTAATTTTATTTTGAGAGGTATCAGGCCTTTGTTGAGGTGTTAGATATTTATTTTCCTGGATTGTTTTGTTTGTTGTTTTTCCTTTGGCTTTGTTCTTGGCAGGAGGAGCCACATTCTCTTGGCGAATCTATCTATGCCGAGACCTTTTATTTTGGGTTTTATTTTTCCCGTTGTATGCCCCCCCCCCACACACACACACAGAGAAGCAGACTAGCAACCAGATGTGTCCCAGCGTCGTCTTGTTGGCGTGTCTTGTGTGCACTGTTTTCATTTTCAGGAAACTATACACTTGGCTCCTGCAGTTCTCACGCTATTTCTGCCCTCCGTGATGGCTGCGTGAAGCTGGGCTCTCGTGGCTCGCACACTCGCGGGGACTGATCCCCGAGTGGGTTGGAGGTGACCCCCCCGTCAGGGAGACCGAGTCTGTGGAGGCCAGGACAGTGAGTGGGTCCCCAGGTGTGGGGGAAGAGTGAGGGAGGGGCGGGTCTACGCAGGCACCAGAGGGAC